TGGACCCCTGCTCTTTTTAAAATAGCCAATCAGGATTAGTCTAGTTTCTGTGGTCTAACCCTAGCCAATAGGGGACGACACAGCAGTAGGGATGACCCCGTGAGGCATAAGTACTTTCCCCCTTGTCCAAGCGTGCAGCGGCCATCATTGCTCATTGCTCCGTCCGTGTGCTCTGCATCTTTCTATAAACTGTCTTGCTGAGACGGCATTATCTTTGAGTGCTATTTCTTTTGTGGCATCGAAATTTTACTTTTAACAGGAAGAACCAGACATTTTAGAGTGACAGACTGACCATTGGGCTCACAAAACACTATTATTATATCTGACTAGTATAGTTCTCTCCCTCTCTCTCTCTCTCTCTCTCTCTATATATATATATATATATACACACACATGTAATTACAGGTGTAGGTAAATACTTATGATCAGCTTTCTTAGTCTTCAATGTAACAGCACCTATTCCATATCAAGAAATTTATATTAATCTGCAGTATCCCTTATAAGCATAAAGCTATCTGGGAAACTGAAAATGCTGATAATCAAAAGTATGTGTAATAAAGTCAAATTAAAGGGCATAAGATATGTTTAAGAATTATCGAGTTGTGAGAGGAGGCTGCATAGCCGTGCGGAGGAGGCAGGAGCCAGAGCGCGAGCAGAAGCTGGGTGGGCACCATGGCTGGGATCACCACCATCGAGGCGGTGAAGCGCAAGATCCAGGTTCTGCAGCAGCAGGCAGATGATGCAGAGGAGCGAGCTGAGCGCCTCCAGCGAGAAGTTGAGGGAGAAAGGCTGGCCCGGGAACAGGCTGAGGCTGAGGTGGCCTCCTTGAACCGTAGGATCCAGCTGGTTGAAGAGGAGCTGGACTGTGCTCAGGAGCGCCTGGCCACTGCCCTGCAAAAGCTGGAAGAAGCTGAAAAAGCTGCTGATGAGAGTGAGAGAGGTATGAAGGTTATTGAAAACCGGGCCTTAAAAGATGAAGAGAAGATGGAACTCCAGGAAATCCAACTCAAAGAAGCTAAGCACATTGCAGAAGAGGCAGATAGGAAGTATGAAGAGGTAGCTCGTAAGTTGGTGATCATTGAAGGAGACTTGGAACGCACAGAGGAACGAGTTGAGCTGGCAGAGTCCCGTTGCCGAGAGATGGATGAGCAGATCAGACTGATGGACCAGAACCTGAAGTGTCTGAGTGCTGCTGAAGAAAAGTGCTCTCAAAAAGAAGACAAATATGAGGAAGAGATCAAGATTCTTACTGATAAACTCAAGGAGGCAGAGACCCGTGCTGAGTTTGCTGAGAGATCGGTAGCCAAGCTGGAAAAGACAATCGATGACTTGGAAGATAAACTGAAATGCACCAAAGAGGAGCACCTCTGTACACAAAGGATGCTGGACCAGACTCTGCTTGACCTGAATGAGATGTAGAACGCCCCAGTCCCACCCTGCTGCTGCTTCTCCCTCTGACCCTGACTCCGCCTGAGGCCAGCCTGCCCGAAGCTGACCTTTAACTGAGGGCTGATCTTTAACTGGAAGGCTGCTTTCTCTTTCGCTGCCCCCTCTTTCCCTGTGTCTTATTCGCCAAACTGTCTCTGCCTCTTCCCGGAGATTCCAGTTGGGCTAGAGGCTGAGCACCTTTGGAAACAACATTTAAGGGAATGTGAGCACAATGCATAATGTCTTTAAAAGCATGTAGTGATAAACACATTTTGTAATTACCTTTTTTGTTGTTTTGTAGCAACCATTTGTAAAACATTCCAGATAAGTCCACGCCCTGAAGCAGCAAGCTAATCCGTTTCTTACTTTTGGAAGGTGACTTTTCAGCTTAATGCATATTGCCCTCTCCATAGAAGAGAGGAAAAGGTATAGCTCTGCCTTACTGAGAGCCAAACAGAGCCTAGGGAAAGACTCCACTGTGGGAAACCTCATTGCTCTGTACAAAGTACCAGCTAAACCAGAAAGGTGATTCCAGGAGGAGTTAGTCAAACAAGAACAACAACAAAAAAAAGTGCTGTTCAAGTTTTCAGCTTTAAGATCTCTTTGGACAACATTATTTCTATTTTTTTCATTACAAGTGACCAAATTAAGGTGGTAAGATCTCTGAGACCAAATTTTTGTCCCATCTCTACTCCCTCCCAACTGCTTACAGAATGGATCATGTGCCCCTTATGTTGAGATGACCACTTAATTGCTTTCCTGCCTCCTTGAAAGAAAGAAAGAAGATTGTTTTTGCCACTGATTTAGCCATATGAAACTCATCTCATTACCCTTCTCTGGGTTTGAAGCTGCTGTGTCTAAAAGTGCCATCTCATTGTGCTTTGTATCAGTCAGTGCTGGAGAAATCTTGAATAGCTTATGTACAAAACTTTTAAAATTTTATATTATTTTGAAACTGCTTCTTTGGATTTGTGGCACCCTGGCCACCCCATCTGGCTCTAACAGCCTCTGCAGTCCATGGGCTGGCAGTTTGCTGATCTTTTAAAGTTTCCCTACCCAGTCCCCATTTTCTGGTAAGGTTTCTAGGGGGTCTGTTAGGTGTACATCCTGCAGCTTATTGGCTTAAAATATACTCTCCTTTTATGTGGTCTCTTTGGGCCGATTGGGAGAAAGAGAAATCAATAGTGTAACTGTTTTGATACTGAATATTGACAAGTGTCTTTTTGAAATAAAGAACCAGTCCCTCCAAAAAAAAAAAAAAAAAAAAAAAATAAAGAGTTGTCAAAAAAAAACTACCTCTCTCTTTTCAGATAATCTGAAAAGTCAGTTAAACAAGAGACAGATGATTTCTACAATCCCATTCCCCTCCAACACACAGTAACTGAGATTTAGACTTACAGGCGCAGCACAGTACAGAATAAAAAAGCTACTATAAATAAAGGAGATTGGTAATGTAATATATGAATCAAAGGTAAGTAAAATTCAGTATACAAAGAAAGGCTAAAAGTCTCTAAAGGGACTTGAAAAGGGGCAAGATCAATAAAGACTAGAAAAGTTTCTGTAATTGGACAAGGATACTTTGAGGATACATAACTTAAGTCTAATACTGAGAGATGTGCATAGACAGGGAAAAGGAGGGACAGTTTTCCAGGCAGAAGCAGAAAAAGGAAAAGTGGGCACAAATGTAGCATTAGCTCTACTTCCTAAATAATCTATGCTATTTATTCTAAATTGCTTTTGTAATGGTCTAAAATGCCAATTTGGTGATTAAAAATGTAAAATCCTTGAAGTCTTTAATTGTTGAGAGCTGATGACACAATTTTGTAAAAATAAAAACAGGAACACCCAGGTACATAAAGCAAGTTCTTTTTTTATTTTTCTTTTTTTTTTTTCTTTTTTGAGACAGAGTCTCGCCGCCCCAGGCACCAGGCTGGAGTGCAGTGGTGTGATCTCAGCTCACTGCAACCTCCGCCTCCCAGGTTCAAGCAATTCTCCTGCCTCAGCCTCCCAAGTAGCTGGGACTATAGGCGCGCGCCACCACGTCCAGCTAATTTTTGTATTTTTAGTAGAGACGAGGTTTCACCATGTTGGCCAGGACGGTCTCAATCTCTTGACCTCATGATCTGCCCACCTTGGCCTCCCAAAGTGCTGGGATTACAAGCGTGAGCCACCACGCCCAGCCAGCAAGTTCTTAAGGACCTATAAAGAGACTAGGACTCCCACACAATAATAGTGGGAGACTTTAACACTCCACTGTCAATATTTAACAGATCAACCAGACAGAAAATTAACAAGGACATCCAGGACTTGAACTCAGATCTGGACCAAGTGGACCTAATACACGTCTACAGAAATCTCCACCCTAAATTCACAGACTATACATTCTTCTCAGCACCGCATGGCACCTACTCTAAAACTGACCACATAATTGGAAGTAAATCACTCCTCAGCAAATGCAAAAGAACAGAAATCATAACAAACTGTCTCTCAGACCACAGTGCAATCAAATTAGAACTCAGGACCGCACAACTTCATGGAAACTGAACAACTGGTTCCTGAATGTTTACTGGATAAACAACGAAATGAAGGCAGAGATAAAGATGTTCTTCAAAACCAATGAGAACGAAGACACGACATACCAGAATCTCTGGGACACATTTAAAGCAGTGTCTAGAGGGAAATTTATAGAAAATAAATGCACACCAGAGAAGCAAGGAAAGATCTAAAATCAACACCCTATCATCAAAATTGAAAGAGCTAGAGGAGCAAGATCAAAAAAACTCAAAAGCTAGCAGAAAACGAGAAATAACTAAGATCACAGCAGAACTGAAAGAGACAGGGACACAAAAAATCATTCAAAAAATCAAGAAATCCAGGAGCTGGTTTTTTGAAAAGATCAACAAAATAGACAGACTGCTAGCTAGATTAATACAAAAGAAAAGGGAGAAGAATCAAATAGATGCAATAAAAAACGATAAAGGGAATATCACCAGTGACTACACAGAAATACAAATTACAATCAGAGATTACTACAAACAACTCTATGCACATAAACCAGTAAACCTGGAAGAAATGGATAAATTCCTGGACACTTGCACCCTTCCCAAGCTAAACAAGCCAGAAGTTGAAACCTTGAACAGAACAACAACAAAGGCTGAAGTTGAGGCAGCAATTAATAGCCTACCAACCAAAAAAAGCCCAGGTCCAGACGAGTTTACAGCCGAATTCTACCAGAAGTAAAAAGAGGAGCTAGTACCATTCCTTCTGAAACTATTCCAAACAATACAAAAAGAGGGAATCCTTCCCAAATCATTTTATGAGACCAACATCATTCTGATACCAAAACCCGGCAGAGACTCAACAAGAAAAGAAAACTTCAGGCCAATATCCATGATGAACATAGATCCAAAAATCTTCAGTAAAATACTGGCAAACCGATGGCAACAGCACATCAAACAGCTTATCCATCACAATCAAGTAGGTTTCATTCTTGGGATGCAAGGCTGATTCAACATGCAAGTCTACAAACATAATCCACCACATAAACAGAACCAAAGACAAAAGCCACATGATCATCTCAATAGATGCAGAGAAGTCCTTTGACAAAATTCAACAGCCCTTTATGTTAAAATTCTCAATAAACTAGGTATCAAAGGAACATATCTCAAAACAATAAAAGCTATTTATGACAAATCTACAGCCAATATCATAATGAATGGGCAAAAACTGGAAGCCCATTGAAATCTGGCACTAGATAAGGATGCCCTCTACACCACTCCTATTCAAAATAGTATTGGAAGTTCTAGCCAGAGTAATTAGGCAAGAAAAAAAAATAAGGAGTATTCAATTAGGAAAAGAGGAAGTCAAATTATTTCTATTTGCAGACAACATGATTATATATTTAGAAGACCCTATCATCTCAGCCCAAAATCTCCTGAAACTGATAAGCAGGTTCAGCAAAGTCTCAGGATACAAAATCAATGTGCAGAAATCACGAGCATTTCTATACACCAATAACAGACTAACAGAGAGCCAAATCATGAGCAAACTCCCATTCACAATTGCTACAAAGAGAATAAAATACCTAGGAATACAACTAACAAAGGATGTAAAGGACCTCTTCAAGGAGAACTACAAACCACTCAAGGAAATAAGAGAGGACACAAACAAATGGAGAAACATTCCATGCTCATGGTTAGGAAGAATCAATATAATAAAAATGGTCATACTGCCCAAAGTAATTTACAGATTCAACACTATCCCCATCAAGCTACCAATGATCTTCTTCACAGAACTGGAAAAAAACACCTTAAACTTCATATGGAACCAAAAGACAATAGCCCAGACAATATTAAGCAAAAAGAACAAAGCGAGAGGCATCATGCAAACTGATTTCAAACTATACTACAAAGCTAGAGTAATCAAAACAGCATGGTACCGGTACAAAAACAGAGATATAGACCAATGGAACAGAACAGAGGCCTTGGAGGCAATGCCACATATCTACAACCAACTGATCTTTGACAAACCTGACAAAAACAAGCAACGGGGAACGGATTCCCTGTTTAATAAATGGTGTTGGGAAAACTGGCTAGCAGTATGCAGAAAGCAGAAACTGAACCCCTTTCTGACACCTTAAACTAAAATTAACTCCAGATGGATTAAAGACTTAAACATAAGACCTAACACTATAAAAACCCTAGAAGAAAACCTAGGCAAAACCATTCAGGACATAGGCATAGGCAAGGACTTCATGACTAAAACACCAAAAGCTTGGCAACAGAAGCCAAAATAGACAAATGGGACCTAATTAAACTCCAGAGCTTCTGTACAGCAAAAGAAACAATCATTAAAGTGAACCAGCAACCAACAGAATGGGAAAAGATTGTTGCAATCTACCCATCTGACAAAGGGCTAATATCCAGAATCTACAAAGAACTAAAACAGATTTACAAGAAAAAAACAAAGAAATCCATCCAAAAGTGGGTGAAGGATATAAATAGACACTTTTCAAAGAAGACAGAAATGCTCATCATCACTGATTATTAGAGAAATGCAAATCAAAACCACATTGAGATACCACCTCACACCAGTTAGAATGGTGATCATTAAAAAATCTGGAGACAACAGATGCTGGAGAGGATGTGGAGAAATAGGAACACTTTTACACTGTTGGTGGGAGTATAAATTAGTTCAACCATTGTAAAAGACAGTGTGGCACTTCCTCAAGGACCAGAAATAGAAATTCCATTTGACCCAGCAATCCCATTAATGGGATGTATATCCAAAGGATTACAAATCAGTCTGTTATAAAGACACATGCACACATATGTTTATAGTGGCACTGTTTACAATAGCAAAGACCTGGAACCAACCCAAATGCCCATCGACAATAGACTGGGCAAGGAAACTGTGGCACATATACACCATGGAATACTATGCAGCCATAGAAAAGGATGATTTTGTGTCCTTTGTAGAGACATGGATGAATCTGGAAACCATCATTCTCAGCAAACTGACACAAGAACAGAAAATCAAACACCACATGTTCTCACTCATAGGTGGGTATTGAACAATGAGAACACATGGACACAGGGAGGGGAGCATCACACACTGGGGTCTGTTGTGGGGTTGCCAAGGGAAGGACAGCAGAGGGGTGGGGAGGTCAGGGAGGGATAACATGGGGAGAAATGCCAGATGTAGGTGACGGGGGGATGGAGGCAGCAAACCACATTGCCATTGCCATGTGTGTACCTATGCAATAATCCTGCATGATCTGCACATGTAACCCAGAACCTAAAGTACAATTAAAAAAAATATATATATATATATATATATGCACACACATACACATACCCATCCTGCAGTATGATATGCTCTAGATGGTATGTGAACATATGTATTTTAAAAACCTAAAAAAAAAAATGGCTTTTCCTAATATAGCTAAATGTACCTTAATGTACATGCCATTATTAAAATGATGGCTTATTTCTGACCACCATAATACGTAATCCTACTATCTTAAGTGCTGGCTGCATATCCATCTTCCAAGACCAGCCATATTTTTATGATTAATGGTATCCTTTTATATATGATCTAGAGTGATGGCACTGCTAAAATAAAGGACTTCAAACAGATTTCAAATTGATATCCATCTTGCTTTATAAATAATCATCTGTTACAATAAATAACATAAAGGAACGCCTTTAAATTTGAAAATGCAAGATTTAATTTGAAGATATATATTCCAAATTCAATATACTTTAAGTTTAGAAAACTAAAAGCACATCAGATTAAGATATAAAATCTTAATTTATATCTTTATACTACATAAGGTAAAGCAAGTCTGCTTTACTTATGAAGGTTGATACCAAAAATATTCGGATAAATGTAACCATCGCTCTTGACCTTGTTCAACACTATATTTTGATGCTTGGAAATATTGTTCATGTGAATAGGAGAAAACTTCATTTCATTGATAAACTCTGTTTAAATATAGAAAACTGGAATTTCTCTCCAGCCAATTGTTTTGAAAATGCACACTTACCCTGCATTGTTGCTGACTGCGGTTAGTCCTTTTACTCCAGTTTTAAGTAAAGCATCTATAAGGTTCTCTGGAATTCCACATAACCCAAAACCTATATTAAGCCCAAAAAATAAACAATTTGTGAAGGGGCTAATAATCTTTTTTCAGAAGTGTGTGCTATTCTTTTTAAGAGGGAAAAAAAACCAAAGCACATTATTAGATCTACTAAGCAAAATACACAGATATTATCTCAGCAGCTCAACAAATGATCATATGTCTGTATCCAAATGTTTTGCACCATTATATCACACAACACTGCCCACTCTTTGAGCCACAAGTATAAGGCCAAATGCAACCAGTTTATATGGCTGCACATTGCTTAGCACTTAACTATACATCTATTATTGTCCTGCTTTGTAAATCAGTTTTTCTGTAATTCTTTCAAGCATGTTTATATGTCTGAGTAGATTTTGCAGAGTTGGAAGCCTACGCCCCAAACTGTCATTTCTTTTTTTTTTTTTTTTTTTTGAGAGAGAGTCTCTCCCCCCCCCCCCACAAGGCTGAAGTGCATGGGCACGATCTTGGCTACCTGTCTGGAAC